TGATAATCTACTATTTTAAAGGGAATTCCCACTGTTTAATTATCTTATTAAACATGAATTTTGTATTTTAATTAGTCATAAATTTTCGTGCAAGATTAAAAATACATACATACGGGGAACCTTTCCGACGCGAAACGGGAAAATTTATTGTTTTTCTTAATTTCGTAATTAAAATAATATAATTGAAGAACAAGTTTCACGATTCTGACGTCGCCAATAATAAAACCTCAATTTATTACCTTCGATCGAAAGTGGAAATTAATTTTTTTGTAAATATTTTGCCGCCTATTACATACCTACTAGAAATTTTACTGCTGATATGTACATCTGCAAATCGCTTTGGCATCTTCCTCTGAGGTGGGCCGTTAATAAAAATAAATCATCATTTCGGTTTGGGTTGAAACCGTAATCTGTTAGACAACGACAAGCAAAACATAAGTAAGTACATTTATCATAAAAGTGACAACTTCAAACAGAATGTGGAAAACGAGGTGAAAAGTAGGTTGCTTCCGAAGTTAAAGGATAGTAAAAAATATACTGAATCAGATCGATACGACGTCGGACAAGTTTTGTGAAATGAATCAATAAATGAAACCCACAAACAAACAGTTTTTTTCAAATTTTACGTCCGTTTAGAATAATCGACCGAATGACATAATATGCATATCAAGGTTGGATCATACCATACATCACACATGTCGCCGACTCGTGTGGCGCAGTGGAGTTGGATCTCGACTGCGGTACTAAAGGTCCATAGTTCGAATCAGAGTTCAGGCATGGATATTTGTGTGGGTTGGGTTGGTAGAGCAGCCTTCTGCTCTGTCCGTCTTTCAGAATGCTATGATTTGAAAAAAATAGTAGCAATAAATTCAAAATTGTGACATTTTATTTGCGTTTCAATTTCTTTTAATTTGGCAAAGTACAGGGTGGCGCATTGAAAACAATCAGAGCTATGTTCATAGATATCATTTTAGAAAGAATTTAAAAAAAGTCAATTTTAAATTTAAATTTAAAATAAACAACAAATCTTTTAATTGCTCTCTAAAATTTGAAATTATATAATAGGACAAGTAACACATCGTCGATAAGACCCTTGTTATTTACTAATCTCTGAGTCGTTTGGAAACCGAAAACGAAATTCAAATGAAATTAGACCCCGATATTCAAAACGAGACAATAGCGGTAATAAGGATGTCTGATTTGCTATCACATTAATTAAAATTTAAGGGGTTGTAGCCTGAGTTGTAGTCAAAACCTTAGGGACTGCAAAAAATTAGTGGATATACTGTCCCAAAACGCGTCTTGCATTCTATATTAGGATCATATACGTCCAAAGCAGAGGATGCCTCGGTGGAAAGAGTAAGAGCATACACCTATGTACAGAAGGACAATTATAATCTATCTGTAACCGTCTGGGAACATTAAAAGTCGAAAATTGCCAGCTGCTAGGCCAGCTGCGTGGGATTATCTTCCACGTATTACTCAACGGTCAATAACT